TAGGAGAAAGGTGGGGTGTGGAACTCAAATTCTAGTAAGAAGACCAGACTTAATGGTCTGACTGAGACTGGAGGAACCCCGGAAAGCATGGCCTCTGGATTCTCTATCAGCCCAGAACTAAAAGAGTTTCCAAGGCCAACTCTTGAGACAGGGATTGGACTGGACTGTGGGACATAGAGTGATATTCGTGAGGAGTGTGCCCTTAGCTCAAGTAGATACAAGAGACTAAACGGGCAGCGTCTGTCCGGAGATGAGATGGGAAGGCAGAGAGGGTTAAGAGCTGGTTGAATGGACATGTGGAGTCAGGGGTGGAAAGGAGGAGTGTGCTGTCAGTATGAGGGGAGCAATTAGGGTCACATAACAATGTATGTAAAAAATTTTAATGGGAGACTAACTTGAAATGTAAACTTCATCTAAACTACAACAATTTAAAAAAAAAAAAAAGAGTTCTTGCTTTAGAGTCACTGAACCTAGGTTGAATCCTGGCCTTGGTACCTTCTAGCTGTGTGACCTTGGGCAAGTTATTTAAGCTCTCTGAACCTCAGTTTCTTCAATGGTACAATAATGAGAATAGTAGTACCCCCAAAAAAACAGTTATTGTCAAGTTGACTCCAACTCATGGTGACCCCACGTGTATCAGAGTAGAACTGTGCTCCATATAGGATTTTCAGTGGCTGATTTTTCAGAAGTAGATCACCAAGCCTTTCTTCCAAGGTACCTCTGGATGGTCTCAAACCTCTAATTTTTTGGCTAGCCAAGCACATTGACTGTTGGCACCATCCAGAGACTCCATAACAGTTTCCACTCCTGAGATAATGCCCATAAAACATAGCTCTTGGCACATAGTATGTATTAAATGATAGCCTTTTTAGTATTATTAAAATATATTATTATGGATTTAAGCTTATTGTTGTTATTAGAGGTGGCTCTATATTCTTTTCTCATTGCTTTCATATTCAGTGGGTATATGTATTCATTGTTGCCTTTTCTAATCTTCAAAATTGCTTTCTAGGAGATTGAAGAAGTACCTGGAAGACGAAGCAGAGGTGTCAGGGAGTGACGTGGGAAGTGAAGACGAGTATGATGGGGAAGATATTGATGAATATGAAGAAGATGTAATTGATGAAGCACTGCCTTCTGATGAAGAACTGCAGAATCAAATCAAGAAAATACACATGTCAGTATCCCAGCAAGCCCTTCTGAGGAATGGGGTGCATCTTAAGGCAGGCCCTGTAACCAACCAGAGTAGTTGGTTTTGAACACCTTGTTTCTTCTATTGTAGGAAAACCATGTTGGATGATGATAAGCGACAGCTACGTTTATACCAAGAGAGGTACCTAGCTGATGGGGATCTGCACAGTGATGGTCCTGGGCGAATGAGGAAATTCCGATGGAAAAACATAGGTATATTGGTTGTTGCCTTTAGAAGCAGTTGGTTATGATGTACATATATACATGTTTGTTCAGTTTAAGATGGCAACTGGAAATCAAAACTATAATAGGCGTGGTGGAGGACTTGGAAGTAACCATTGTTTTCTATTAGTGGATTGGAAAAGTTTATGTCACTATATGAGAAATAATAAAGAGTTTGTTTCATGCCTGTCCAGGCACCGTCTCCAGTGGGGATTGCAGAGTGCTAATAGCATTAACTCTCTGCTTTAGATGATGCTTCCCAGATGGACTTGTTCCACAGAGACTCTGATGATGATCAGATTGAAGAACAGTTCGATGAGACAGAAGCCAGATGGAGAAAGGAGCGAATTGAACGAGAGCAGTGGCTTCGGGACCAGGTAGGAAGTCTGCAAGAAAATTGCTTATTCTGACCTCAGTCAGTTTAGGAGGAGGAGAGGACCCAGTCACCTACTCTATCATGATAATTTCAAAATCTTAGGCAATATATTGTTGTCCCTTTTCATCCCTGAGTTTTCTTATGTGCTTTGAAATGAGGTTACAATAAGCAGTTCTCTTCATGTTTGTCTAAAATATTTTTTTTTCCCCTAAAGTAATAAAAGGTTGCAAAAAAGAAAACAAATGATATCCCAGCAACCCCAGCTTCACAACCCAGGCTATGCTAACTATCTGGGGCAGCTGTAGATTTTTCTGTTAATGTTGTATGATTTTTATTTTCAGGCACAGCAGGGGAAAATTGCAGTGGAAGAAGAAGAAGAAATTGGAGAAGACAGTCAGTTTATGATACTGGCCAAGAAAGTTACAGCCAGAGTGCTTCAGAAGACTGGTGCGCTTCCGGTCTTCCTCAGGGTGTAACCCCTGAATTGTTAGTGGTGGAGCCTTGGGGGTGACTCCAGCCTTCAGGGACTATTGCAGCTTAGTCGTAGGCTCGTGTCTTATACTGTCTTAAAGAGGCCCCAGAGAGGGAGGGAGAGAGTGTTTTTGGATCTTAGTGTATTGGGCAGTAGAGGTTGTACTTATGAGTAGATATATAGCTGATTTCACTTTATGTTCTAAGGCAACTCAGAGTAGTGAATTCTGGCCCTGGGTTGTATATCTAACTCCAGAGCTGAGGCTCTTAAACACTACTCCATTCTCTTAGCACCCCTGTTTTTTAAATTTTTACTGTTAATAATTAGTTGAGCAGTTCAACTTAGTTGTCGGTCTTCTTGGAGTGACGCATTACAGTTTGAGAGTCACCATTATAAAATAATCAGAGTTCTTATGGATTTAGTTTATTGGTTAGAAGGCTTCTTAGCTTGTTTAGATTTAAAAGTAATTATACTGGGATGGTGCCCGGTTACCATTACTGAACATTTTGATCAAAGATTCTATAGAAGAATCCTGATCGAAAGGGGGAAAATGCAGAAGAGAATTCAAATTTTCACGGCCTTCAGACTTTCTAGAGCCATGGAGGCTGGATGAAACCCTGAAACTATTGCCATGAGATAATCTTTAAACCTTAAACCAGAAATATCCCTTGAAGTCTTCTTAAAACCAAACAATAGTTTTGCTTAACTAGTAAAGAATGTCTGCCTTGAGCTATCTATATGGGATCAAATTGACAACAGCAACTTGAAAGATTAGATAGGAACCTTAGGGGGCAGTGAGTTTATGTTAATGGGGGAGGAACAACTTGGAAAGAGCGTGAGAATGGTTGCACAACTTGAATGTAATCAATGTCACTGAATCATATGTAGAAGTTGTTGAATTGGTGTATGTTCTGTGTATACTCTCAACAAAAATAAGATAAATTATTAAAAAACAATAATTTTTTAAAAAGTAATTATACCCAGCTTTGCTCAGAACACACCTTTCTGTCTTTTTTCTCCAGCCAATCGCACTGTGGTTGTTCAGGAATCAAAATCTTTACTCAGAAGCCCTTTTGAAGCCATCAAACCAGGAAGTACCCACCAGGTTGGTTGCAGACCTTGCTAGCCTGATGTCATGCAGGTTATAAATGCTCAGGCCAAGCTAAGTGAATCTCTCTGCTATTAGGGGAGGATGGTGGCTGCAGGAAATGTAAGTAGATATCAAAGGAGGATAGGAATATGTCCTCGTAATACCTAGGGGGCAGCAAGGACGGACTGACTTGTCATTATTTAGCACTTGGGGGTCTGATACCAAATTACTTTTATTTCCTCAGCTAAAGACAGGCTCCTTGCTCAATCAGCCCAAAGCTGTGCTTCAGAAACTGGCTGCCCTCTCTGACCTCAACCCTACTGCTCCCCGAAATTCAAGAAACTTTGTCTTCCATACACTTTCTCCTGTCAAGGCTGAGGCAGCAAAGGAATCTTCTAAGCCTCAGGTAGGGAATTTGAGAACTGATTTGGTGGCTTCCCAAACCATAATTAATTTTTTAAATTTAAAAAAAAAAAAAAATTCTGGCTTAAAGGCATACGCTACAGTGTTGAAATCTTGCATTTCCCAACAAGGTACAAGGGAATTGCTGCCCCTAGTAAGTTATCAACATTTAAACTTGCCTGGAGAGTTTATATTTCTTTCTTTTTTTTTTTTTCTGTTGCTAATTGTTGGTGATTTAACTATGTGTTGCTTAAGAGCCAATTGAAGATAAGTACTTGTATGAGGCTGTTGATCTTGAGCTGGCCTTGACTCCCTTTCTGCTCTCTAGGTGAGGCGACGGGGTCCATCTTTAATCACATCTCCGTCACCGAAGCGCCTCAAAACAGATGATAGCACTTCAGGATTAAAGCGAAGCATTTTCAGATACTTGGAAAGCTAACACCATCAAGGATTATTGCCAACAGCTATGTTAAGAATGCTTTGAGAAGTTCCTGGCACTGAAGGTTAGATATGATGCTCACATTGATGATCCCTCCTTCCTTCATAATGAATGCATTAAGAATTACAAACAGAAATTCCAGTTCTTTCCACTGCATGGCTCTGGATATCTCTCCTTTCCTGGTATTTCCTGTGTTGCCACTAGTCATAATTCTGCAGTGTTTACAGCATTGATTCATGGGATACTTGGGTGAAGCCTCACTTGTTGTTTTATCTTAGCAGCTTCCTGAGTTGATACCTCTTTGTGATAGGGTTGTTGAGAGAGGAGGAGGGAGAGGAAGAAAGTGTGGCATTATAGAAAATAGTGAAAGTATCAGAATGACTTCTTCACAGCTCTTAAGATCAGCACCACAGTGGCCCGGAATCAGTGAGAGAGAGAGTTCTTAGACAGAGAACCTAGGAGCTGATCAGAAGGACTGTTATTAGTCTTGCTCCTTCCATTTTCTTGTATGCCTTTTCCAAAGGCAGTCTCAAATTGCCAGTTAACCTTTGCTGCCTTTATAATAAGGACTTAAACTGGTACTAAGTCAGTAAGACCTTGGCCCTAATTTTGTGGAGTATGAGAATGAAGATAAAGGCTTGCACCCAGTCCCATCCCTGTCAAGATATTCCATGGCGCAAAGATCTTTCCTGGGACTAAATTCTCAATTATAAACAGTGTTGCTCAGGACCTCCCTTCTGACTTGACAAAAAGAAATATAACCATTACTGATGGCATTCTCCTGGCTTGAGTATGTTGCCCTGGCCAGTACAGAGGGCACTTTAATATTTCATTATTTAGAAGACCACCAGGGAGTTTAATCAAAATATAGTTGAAAAGAGTTGCCATCACTCCCCATTTTCCCTGAACTACCATGAGGCTCTCAGAATTTTAGACAGATTTTTTTCCCCCTCAGAACTGAGTACTCATGCTGCTCTGGAAAACCATTCCATGTAGTGCTATGGTTTGACTGTCAAGAGCTCAACTTTTGGAAAGTTGGATGAAAATTGTGCCAGACTAGGAGATGGGGAATACCTGTTTAACTGATGAGATTAGGGTATAGGTTTTCTACAGTTTTTTTCCTCTGACTCAAGCTGCTGACTTTGACAGAACTCATGTTTGTATATTTGTAATCTTGTAATGGGGAAAATGTGTATAAAGATGTTTTAATGTGTATGTAGTTTCTCAATAAATGTCAGTGCCTAGAAGGCAGGATTTGCTGCCCAGCTTGAATGTTCATTCTTAGGATGGTACCTGTCTAATGTTGAGGAGCCTTTCATTTTCAGAGTATCTCCCTCCCAGGGGAGCCCTCTGAGTCTAGAGTGAGAAGCTGCTGCAGTTGTTTCCTCGCTGCCTTCTTAGCCCTGTATATTGATCAAATAAGTTTACCCCAGATGGTTTGGGTTCAGTGCATGCAGGGCAAGGAGGAGAGTTTACATAAGTGGTACCTATTGTTATATCCCTCTGGTTGGTACTTTCTCTTGAGCTGACTTTGCCTGTTCTTCATTACAGCTGTGGGCTCAAGGTGAGTTATTGCCCTTCCCTTTGAGCTCTCTAAACAGTGCCCAAGGCTGGGCAGCTCATACTGGGCAAAAGAGAGCTGGAGAGGAGGGCTAAATATTTCTCCCCCTTTGCTTCTCCACATCCTTTTTTTGAAGAAGAAGAAGAAATGGAGAAAAGGGTTGAAGTTGACCACTGAGGAGAAAATTAATGCCTAAGAAATCTGAGGAGAGATGGTTTCTCTTCTAGGCTCCAGAGAGAAAGTACTGTCTTTGGAGAAAAAGTTGATTCTTAAGCTGAGTCACTTTTCCTCTTGTCAGTGTAGCTTCCATAAGGCAAGCTAAGCCTTGATCTTGAAGGATTGAAATGGAGAGTTGTGACCTTACTCATATGCCCTGTGCACAAAGCGCTGAGCCATTGGCATCAGCTGTGTCTTAATGAGAGTGAAGCCCCAGGGCTTGTTAATAAGGCTCCCACTAGGGCTGAGCTCCACTAGCTTAGAAATGACCTACTTGGAAGTATGAGACTCCACAAGTTTGGGAGATAGAGTGTGCTCAGTGTCATTCCTTTCACTTCCCCCTTGTTCCATACACTGGGTGTTTACTTCATTTAAACGGGTCCCTAAACTCATCTCATTAATTCAGTCCACAGTTGCACAAGCCATTCTCAGGTCTCCATAAAGCATCAAGTTATGTTTGCTGAAGCACTATAGAGGTACAAACAAGGTGCTCACAGCTCCGTGCGGGATTCCACATCTCAACTGCTTCTTTCTAGCCTTTTCCCCACTTAGAATTTCTAATAGCTTAGACTGAAAGACAACTGGGTGTTTCTGGTTTTTGTCTCCTGGAATTATGTCTGATAACTCTTGGGGCTTCCTGTCCTGGGATTTGTGCACCTGAGGATAGGGGGAGAGTTTTTCAGGGGGAATATTGTCATGATACTATTTGATTATATCATCCTTGAGAAGTATTGTATTTTCTACCTCTGTATCCTACTCACTGCCTGGCACACAGTCTGGAAAGTAATGGTCCTAGCAAATATTGAATGAATAACACTACCGCTTTCTGAGCCTCTACTTATATCTATAGAATAAGAATGGTAATTCATGTCTGTCTCAGAGTTTCTGTGAGGCTTAAGTTGGAAAATGTATGTGAATGCATATGTCAAATGCTTCCCTGCATGCATAAAAAATTGCCAGTATCACAACTGCATTGTGTTTTGTGGACCACTCCTCAAAGGCCCATTGTCTCACAAGCATCTCAACTTTAACATTGCTAAAAACTTGACCTTTCTTCCCTATAAACCTGCTTCTGCTCCCGCGTTTCCCATTTCAGTAACAGTCACCTCCACACACCCAGTCACTCAGGCTGGAAACCTGAAGGGCATTCTTGACACATCCTTCCTTACTCCCAAAATCAAACAGCCTCCAAGTCCTGTTATTTCTATTTCCAAAGTCCATCTTGAATCAGCTCACTTCTTTCTAGCTCCATATCCAATGCCCTAGTTCAAGATTCTGTTGTTTCTTTCCAGGAGACTGCAGTAACCTCCTAACTAATCTCCCCATTTCTACTCTTGCTTCCCTTCCAGCCATTCTGTGCACAGGACCCAAAGTGTGACCTTTGTAAAAACATAAATTGGAGCATGCCACTCCCCTACTTAAAACCTTTCAATGTTTTCCATTGCACTAAGAAGAAAATCTAAATTCCTGGCCTGCAAGGCCCTGCATGCTGTAGCCTTGCCTCCTAACCCATCCTCCTTCCCCTTTTTCATTACATTCAGCCTCAGGGCCTTCCAAAGCATCCTTCCCTTTTCCTGAATGCCCTTCCCTTTACCCTCTCTCTTTGGCTAATGTATAATTCTCCAAATGTCAGCTTAAATCTGATTTCCTCAGGGACACCTTCCCTGACCACCAAGTAATCTGGGAGCAAATCGTTTCTTAATTACGTTACCTCTGTTAGTTTTCTATTCTTTCCTTTTGGATCTTTTACTATAGTTTGTCTTCTTAATGTTTGTTTTATGTCTGCCTTCCCCATTAGACTATAAACTCTGAAAGCAGAGACCATGTCTGTTTTGTTTAAAAAAAATTATGCTTTGAGTAGCACAATGCCTAGCACATAATAATTGTTCAATAAATATTAATTGAGCCACCAATGCTAGGAGGCCTGGAAGGGCTAATGGTGAAAAGCCTGGAGCTGAACTGCTTACAAAGGTGCTTTCTACTGTGGGGTAGAATAGAGGTGGGAGTCCTTGAAACCTTGATCTGTAACTTGTAAGTGGCATGACCTTAAGTTAAGTCATTCTCTCTAAATTATTTTCCTCAACTGAAAAATGAGGCTAATGGGAAATGGCTTGGTTTAGCTCACAAGGTTATGATCAGAATCAAAGGTACAAATTAATGTGCAATGATTGTGCATATTTAAAAGGTTGCACTAAAGCTGGCTAGCCCATTATAATAATGCCTCATTATTCTCTGGCTGAGTGGGAAGGAGAGGCCAAGGCTCAACAAAGCTCCACTGCCCACCAGCCCACAAGCCTATTCCAGCAGCCAGCAGGGGCTGGCTATGTGCTGGGACTTGTGATAGTGGTAGGAATGGAGGTCTGCTGTGTGCCTGGGCTCTCGTAGTGATCTAGCGAAATAGGCACAGCTTTGTGTTTGACTAGTGTGGCTTCAGACTTTACCTCTTGAGACCCAGGTGTCAGCTCTCTGTCTCCAGTCATTGTATCATCTTGGTCTGTACTATCCATGTCCTGCCTATCCCCTCTTTCTGTCCTCTTTTCTCTCACCTTAAAGGTTTTTCATTTTCAGCTTATTGATTTAGTTCTTCCCTGTGGTGGGATCATAATGGGAAAAGGGTGTTTGAAATAGCTATAAGCCTGAGGGAGATTGGAGGAAGCTAGGGGGCTGGATGCCTGGGTTCTTTCCCTTCATTTTAGAGGGAACCATAGTCTGTGGTGTTCTTAATGGCTGGTAGGCTAGAGGAGGGGGTGAGGAGACAGCTCCCAGCTCCAGGCTGGAGAATCAACTGGCCCAGTCTGAAGGGTAGAAAGTGCTGGGGCAGGGTTGGGAGTCTGAGTCATGGTTTAGGTTTTTCAGCCCCCATATCTCTTTCTCAGAGGCAGAGAGAAAGAGAAAAGCTGACTACCCACCCCTCTCTTTGTCTTGTCTAATTTAACTTATGTTATTTATCAAAAAGACAGGTTATTTGGAAAACCAGATGGACCCAGGCAAAAATCATCTGGGTTTTCCAAACGTGAAAAATTAGTTTCTGGGGGCCAGAAGAGAAGGCGTTTGTGTGTGTGTGTGTGTCTCTGGCTGTGTCTGTGGTTGGGAGGGGGTGAGGAGGGTTGAGGGGGCTTTACATTTCTATAGTCAGAACCAGAAATCGCTCCATGACATACAACCCCCCCTCTTTTACCTTCAAGTTCTTTAAAATTGGAATCTAAATGAGAAAACTAAAATCTTCATGTTGATGGTTGACAGTGCCGTAAGTTTTACTTGGCCAAGGATGAAACATGTCAGTGCCCTAGTAGAACAGCAGCTGACAGCTTTCTCTATCTCCAGCCCTCACCTCCTTCCACAAAGTGGGTGGGTTAGCAAGATATGCAGGGTACAGAGAGGTTTCAGGAGCAAAAATCTACACCTCTTGTCCCTTCAGCTGTTATTGTCTCAGAACACTTGCAGCAGATATGGAAGTTAGACACTTGGGAAGATCTTACTCTTCTAACTTTCTGAAGATCGAATGGCCAAAGAACACTGGGGATTAAGGGCTGTCTTCTGTAAAAGATTACAGCCAAGAAAACTCTATGGAGTGGTTCTACTCTATAACACATGGGGTCGCCATGAGTCAGAATTGACGGCAATGGGTTTGGTTTTTGGTTTATCCATAAAATATCCAAAAAAGGAGCTATCCCAGTTTCCTCCTGGGTAACAGTGGCTCCTTTTAAAACTACAACTAGGGATTGTTAATGCCTGTGGTTCCGTTTCCTCCAAACAGCAACATTATTAGGAAGGAATTGAAGCTGGAGCCTCTGTAGGCACAACCCTTGGCTGCAATAGAGGAAATGTTCTTGCTGAAAATGGGGAGAACCATCCCTTTACATACACACATGCACACATACCAAAGGGAGCCAAGACCATTTCTGGCCTGAAGGGTCCTTGGCAGCAGCAACAGCATTTGTCCAATTGTGAGTGCCATTTTTTAAAGTGTCTTTGGACTGTGAAAGCCACTTAATAACTTGATCTCATTTGAATAATCTGCATTAATACTAGCTCCACAGTTGTGAAGATTAAATAAAAAACATCTGTAAAGTGTTTGCCTCAAGCCCTGGCACATAGTAAATCTCAGTGAATGCTTGCTGAGGGAACTAATCCATGAATCCATGCATCAAGGGTCCCCTGACCATTTGTGGGGGTCGGTGCATAACAGCCCCAGGAACTGAGTGAGGGTTGTGGGTTCTTGCAGTGAACCTGGAGTCTGAAGCCTGAGGCCTGATCTAACCTTGCCATTCACTGAACATGTGTTTAATGAAGGCGAGGGAAATCTCTAATGAGAGGATTCACAAAATTGCTATAACAATGGACTCAAACATACCAGTGATCATGTAGATGGTGCAGGACCAGGCAACGTTTTATTCTGTTAT